TGAACATGAAAAGAACACACAACAGACTCTTATCAGTAGTCTGGATTCAGACTGACTGACAATAACGTGTGTGTGTGTGTGTGTGTGTGTGTGTGTGTGGTGTGTGTGTGTGTGTGTGTGTGTGTGTGTGTGTGTGTGTGTGTGTGTGTGTGTGTGTGTGTGTGTGTGTGTGTGTGTGTGTGTGCATGTGCATGTGTGTGACCTGATAACATCCCTGCAGACTGGCCTCGAGCCAGCCATGGGCAAACTCAACCTGCCGTTTGATGTCGGGGTTGGCTCCAGTCAGACCAACCATTGTGTCCCAAACAATGAACCCCAGACCCACTGGACTATAAACATGTCCTTTGGGGGCGTTTTCCTCAGATTCTGTGCAGGAGACACCCAAAGTCAGGAAACTTGACCCGGCTCTTCCAAATTTAGTAACTCTAGAGAGCCTCAAATGCTGCTGATTTGGCATAAAAAATGGTCAGGGTCCCTCTCGAAGGTAATGCCCTTGGAATGTTGACTGACGCACAAGTCTGGGCGGGAGTTCTTATCACATCCTATAATTCAGGATATTTGGTCAAATTCCATATCTAATTTTTTTTTGTATTACTGTACCTACATTTATGTAGAAATATGATGTTTTGCAACGTCTGCCAATATAATAAATAAAATCATTTTCTATGGGAGTGAACCGTGGTGTTCATTGTAGCAACACTGCAACTGAATACTCTGTAGTAAAATTCATGCATTCAAAATCATACAGAAGAAAAAGTATTATAGGATAATATATAAGTAAATGTACTTATTATGCAGAATGGATTGCATATATATTATTACTGCGTTATAATTTTATATGGATTAAAAATATTTACATCACCCTAATGCAGTGGTTCTCAAACTTTTTCTGTCAGGCCCCCCCTTTGGAGGGAAAAAATAGTCAGGCTCAGTGGCGGCGCCAGAGATTTATTTTGGGGGTGCTGTGGGGTAGCTTGACGTTTCATAGAGGGTGCTCAAACATTTAGGGTTTCCCATTAATGTACCGGTCGCTACAGTGGAATTTTCTACTGCAACACTCCCCACGCATATACACAGTGTACCCGCGACTGTTACAATGAAGGCTCGATAATCAGCTCACGGCATATAGGTGTAAGCAGGGGTAAAGTGCTATTTCTACAGGTGGTGTGTGGACCTCACATTTTCATTTCATTTCAAACCTTTATTTAACCAGATTGGTCCCATTGAGATCATAGATCTCTTTTTCAAGGGAGACCTGCAGCATATAGGTTCCACATGAAACATAAAACAATAAAGGACATCATACATTATATTTACAGGATACATTTACATAGTTATAGACATTTACAAGTACCCATAGTATCAACGAGCATTTCATTTAGCCTAGCTTTAAAAACATGCAGAGGAATGAGATTGCTCAGTTTCAATTCTTGCTGAAGATTGTTCCAAGCAAGTGGAGCTGCGCACATAAAAGCTGTCTTACCTAAGACAGTGCTTGCTCTTGGCACATCTAACAATACTACATCATGCGATCTCAGACAATAGCTGCTTGCAACTCTCTGTGTTATCAGAGAGCAGATATAATACGGGAGTTTACCCAACAAAGCTTTATAAATAAACGTGTACCAATGACTGAGCCTCCGGACAGTAAGTGATGGCAAACCTGCCTTGGCATACAGGGTACAGTGATGTGTAAGTGCTTTACAATTTGTGACAAATCTCAGTGCGCTGTGATAGGCGGCATCTAACTTGTTCAGGCAATGGGCAGGTGCATTCATATACAACAAATCACCATAGTCCAGCACAGGTAAAAAGGTCACAGTGACTAGCCTTTTCCTGGCCTCAAGTGAGAAACAGGACTTGTTTCTGAAAAAGAAACCTAGTCTAACCCTCAGCTTTTTAAGCAGGTTATTGACATGAAGTTTAAAAGTAAGACAATCATCAAGCCAGATACCTAGGTATTTATAACAGGCAACCACTTCTAGTACTTGTCCTTGCATAGTAACAATATCTAAAACAGGCTCTGGTGTCTTTTTAGCTTTTGAAAAAAGCATTACCTTGGTTTTCTCAACATTTAAAAGAAGCTTAAGTTCAGCGAGCGGAGTCTGAATAATGTTAAAAACAGCCTGTAATTTAACAACCGCCTCCTTAATCGAGGGACCTGCACAGTACATCACGGTATCATCCGCATAAAAATGTAAAGTAGCTTCATCCACATTTTCACCTAAACTGTTGATGTATATGGAGAATAAAAGTGGACCTAAAACAGAACCTTGAGGAACACCATTAGCAATGTTTAACCACTCAGAAGACAGCCCATCAAAGTGAACACATTGGGACCTTTCAGAGAGGTAGTTCACAAACCACCCCACTGCATGGCTGGATAAGCCAATACTGAGTAGCCTCTGCTATAAGATGCGATGATCGACGGTGTCAAACGCTTTGGAAAGGTCAATAAATAGAGCTGCACAACTCTGCTTATTATCTAAAATACTCGTAATGTCATTCACCACTTTCATTGTGGCAGTGATGGTGCTATGTTGCTTTCTGAAGCCTGACTGATGTTTAGACAGGATATCATTTTTACATAGAAACTCCTTTACCTGTTCACTCACTAGGCGTTCAAGAACCTTCGCCAGAACTGACAATTTCGAGATTGGCCTATAGTTATTTAAAATAGTTGCTTCCCCTCCTTTTAGCAAAGGCAAGACATAAGCTGACTTCCATACTTTTGGAATTGCATTTGTGCTGAGGGAGAGGTTAAAAAGAGAAGTAAGAGGTGGAGCAATAAAATCTGCAGCTATCTTTAAAAAGAAAGGTTCTACGTTGTCTGGGCCAGCCGGTTAATTAGGATCTAACTTAGATAATGCTTCATGAACAACATTAACAGTAAAAGGAGTAAAACTGAAAGGGTTTTCCAGACCACATTGTTCAGAGTCACGGATTGAGGTGTTCACAGAAGCAGAGTTAGTGACAGAATCAAACAGAGAGCCACAGGACACAAAATGCTTATTAAAGCAATTTAGCATAGTAGCCCTGTCCGATATAGAGCCAGATGCTGTGGTAAGGCACGGAGGTAGCTCATTACGGATCTCACCGGTGGATATCGATTTTATGGCTTTCCAAAATTTCCTAGGATTATTTAGGTTTTCTGTGATAACTGACAAATAGTACTTTGACTTAGCACTTTTGACATGTGAAGTGAAGCTATTCCTTAGCTGCCTAAAACGCAGCCATTCTACCTCTGAGCCTGATTTCCTAGCCTTTGCCCAGGCCTTGTTTCTCTCATGCAGGAGACTAGACAGTTCAGCAGAAAACCAAGGATTGTCTCGTCCCTTTACTCTAAATTTACGCAGGGGTGCATGTCTATCAATGATCTCCATAAAATCAGCACACAGATCGATTTTTCCCCAATCAAACCCAAACAGATCATGAACAAAACCCTGCTCCACAAAATGTTTTATGTCTCTCTTAATAATAATACGAGGTTTAACCTTTTGGACCTTAGTGTCCCTAATTGTGGCTACAGCACAGTGGTCACTCACATCATTCGCAAATACTCCCACAGATGAGTATTTATAGGGAACATTAGTTAGAATGAGATCAATTAGGGAGGATTTATTAGGGGACTTAATGTTAGGGCGAGTAGGACTGTCAACAATCTGAGTAACATTTAAAGAGATACAAAGGTTTTTAAAATCCTCTGATACTGCAGTTAACCAGTCCCAGTTAAAATCTCCAAGTAGCACTATTTCCTTTTAGTCAAGTTGCAATAAAAGATTTGCTAGTGAAGACAAGGGGGGTCCGGGGGCAAGCTCCCCCGGGAAGATTTATTTTTAAATATTGAAGTTAAATGCATCAATCTGGTGCACTTTGAGAGCAAAATGAAGAGATCTATGGATACATCTCTCAACACCCATATGAAACAGTTCTGTAAGCAGATTTACTTTTTCTTTATGGATATTTTACAAATCACCCTTTTAAACTGCATTCTTGTTTTACTGTCATATAGTATTTCATACCTGTTTTTCATTTATTCTCTTATTTTTTTATAACTATAATGATCATATAAACGTGTGCCTCGGAAATAATTGTTTACATTAATGGTGGCCAAAACATTTGAGACCCACTGAGATAACACTGAGAGAGTCCTTTAGCTCACTGAGTCTCTCAGTCTGACAGGAGAGGACTCTCTCCTCCACTTTGTTGTTGAAAAAACTCCTTATATCCGTTAGCGTAGCTCGCTAGCACCAGAAGCTAACAACAACGATCTCAGGTACTGATGCGCTCTCTCTCTCTCTCTCTCTCGCTCGCGCACACAAAATGGCTCATTCCACACACACACAGAGCCGAGCTTTAATGAAATACAGAGACCCAGACATAATAGTACTGTACTGTATCATATTATTTTCGAATCAATAATTGTTCAAATTATGATTTTTTTTTTTTTATATATATATTTAAAAATATATATTTCTCCTGGTCTCTCGCGCCCCCCCTGGCATGCCTCTGCGACCCCCAGGGGGGGCGCACCCCCCACTTTGAGAACCACTGCCCTAATGTCACATCAAATATGAGGCTTATTTTATTGAGTATTGTTTGCAATAGGAATCTGAAACTGCAAATAAATGAGTAACTATCAAATACATTTAAAGTAGTAAAAAGTTAAATATTATTTTCCAAAATTAGAGATAACAGAAAATTAAAAGTAGGAATACCTTAAATCTTAAATTCTTAAGTGCATTACTCGAAAAGATTAAGGACAACTTAGTTACTGGCAGTAAGCCTACTGTTCTATGTTCTGTTGCAACATGCATTACCTTCTTCATCTGAATGTTTGGCCTCTTTCGAACAGGTTTACGAGCATCTGCCCTGCTCAAGTGCTTCAAACCTGAACATCGAACCCACTCACAGGAATCAGAATTACAGTCATGATGTCAAGTGGCCTGCGTGCAGTACCCGCTGTCCACCAGCTGTGCTCGCTGCTGAGGGGTCAGCAGAGTGAGAGGCCTTCCGGTTCCTCTCAGATCAGCTGACTCTGATGCTGCTGTCAGGAGACCTCAACAACTCTATTGAATGGCAACTATGAACATTATCGAGCCATAGAAACGCTATTCACAGCTATATTTCCCCACTGTTAGCGGACATATTTTCTATTCACAGGTGAGCAAAATAGTGATGCTGTGTTGGTGTTGTTGTGAGCAGAGCTAAGTGGCTAACGGTAGCTAATCCCTGTTGCCTGACCGTAACCATCTTTTTGCTAGCTTCGGTTTGTATACACTCATGTTAAAATCATATAATGGCTCTGTAACATTAGTAAGCAGTCAGGAAATTGACATTTGGAGTGTTGGCAAAATAGTACAGTCTGTTAAAACACGAATGAGCCTCTGTTGCTAGTGTAGCATAACTATCTTAGCTTGCTTAGTGGTAAACAGTGTCAGTGCTAAAATGTAGCCAAGCTATGCAAATACAGTGTACAGTATACCTGTACTGTAGGCTAATCAGTGCTGTTGATAAGAAGACAATCTAACTGGTTCTCATGTTGTATCAACTGTTGCACAGCACACATAAGTCTGAGTTTCAGTTTTGCTCTCAGTTTCCTCTAGCTGCACCAGAGCTGTAACCATGACTGAGTTTTGGTTGATCTCTGCCCCGGGAGAGAAGACCTGCCAGCAGACATGGGATCAAATGATGGCAGCCACCACACGTAACAACAACCTGTCCACCAACCACAAGTTCAACATCCCTGACCTCAAGGTTAGAATGGATTCATCACAATTTCACACTTTCTTTCACATGCTGAAGTACACAATTACTTTGCATCTATGGACTTGAATAGTTAAATATGCACGTCATTTTATTTCTTGCAGGAGTCATAGTGATCTTTCGTCCCTTAAAAAAAGTAATGGTTGATTTACATTTAAAGTTATATATAAATGACTCACCTTATATATCCACTGTCAAGAATAAGCTGACTGTGTGAATGGGAAGCAGTCTTGACACAGATCCGTTGCCTGCATGTTGAAGCGTTAGTTTGGTAAAGTTTTCATCCGTAGAGCAGCTCCGCTCCTATGGTTTGATTCCTCTCTGTGCAGAAGGTGAAGTAACCCCACTGACCTCGCAGCCACATGGGCCAGTAACGTTCTCCTAGAACTGCTAGCGATGCATCAGTGGCTCTGGACAAAGAGGCGCCATCATAAGCACATTGGGCCCCCGGGATGTGACTGTAGGCGGCCTGAACCTCAGATTTCACTGTTAAAACACAACCTTGGTTGACCCCGCTTCAAAACGACAAAAATCTCATGACTGATGAAGTCATGATGTGCTGAGGTTTCACTTTATGTGTTCACAAACAGGTGGGGACCCTAGATGTCTTGGTTGGGCTGTCGGATGAACTGGCCAAATTAGACTCCTTTGTGGATAGGTAAGCTACCTGCTGTATTCTGACTGGAGAATGCCTATTGATATTCTCTTGGGCTGAACAATTTATAGTAATTTAATCAAAATCCCAATAAGGACTACTGCAATATCCACCTCGTAGAAAACGCTAAATATGTGCTAACAAACCATTTTTGTGTGGGAGAGAAACTCTCTCTGGAGGGAACTTTAGGATTTGATCCTTTGCAGACCATTTACATGCACAAAAACCTATATAACAAACTACAGGAAAGGGAAAACCCCCCATAGCATAATGGGGCCCGTTTACGTATTTTAGTGCTACAGAAATATCCCTCCCTACTACTCATATTTTACAGATTAAAGTTTGGTATGGATCCTGACAAAACATCACCCTATGATCAGTTTATTACATATTTTAATTTGGAAAAATAAAACAATAATGCAAAAATGATCTTTCCCTCCAATATCCTGAATCATATTGCAATTGTAACATCAGTGAAATAATCCCTTATAGATATTTTGTCCAAATCTTTCAGCTCATCATTATGAATAAGGCCTGTATTTTATAGGACATGAAACAAACCTCCTCTCCTGTGCAGCGCTCTCTGATGTACCCGCTTTTCCTTTTCCTAATCCCTTCCCTCACCTTGTAACGATGAGGAATTTCACAGAGGCCTGAGGCTAGCGGGCCTTGCAGTCTAAACTTGGCAATTTACAGTTGGGTGACACACCAGCAGGTCTTTCTTGAGTCATATTTCTACCCAGTGACTTATGTGCTGCAAGTATGTTTGAGTGTAATTGATAGTGTTTTGGAAACATTGACATCAAACGCTCACACACAGCCAACACTGCCTGAGCTTGGCTTTGCTGTAGCGAGAGGGTGAGAAAGAGTAGCAGGCCAACCGGTTTCACTTATCTGACTACAGCCTGTCATCAATTTACTCTCTTTTTGGAAGTTTCCATAAAACATGTCTAAGAAAAAAAATACCACAACTAATTATTTCTTACATTTATTCCCATTAATATTTATGCACATTATTCTAGTGCAATATCCAAAATGCTGTCATCTCAATATTTAGTAAAGTAAAAAATATGAATGATAATGATAATCATGATAATTGTATATCATAATTATGTGAATATTGTTTAAAAAAAGATGAATCCCTCCAATATTGCAAATCATATTGTATTTTAGACATCAGTCAAAATAATCATAATAATCAGGCTGCCCTAATTGGTATAATTTTGGTTCTTTTTGTGTCCTTAATATATACAATTACATTTTCTTTCTTTATAGATTTGATAGAAAAATGTAGCCTAAGCGGCAGATGTTCTTAAGAACTTTTTAGGCCTGAGATGTGACTTGGCTCTCAGTGTTTTTGGCTTCACATCTGTAGACACAGTTGTGCTTTGATGTGCTGCGGAAGAGTGTGGATAAAAACCCTGAACTGTGCAGGTCTGCCATATTATAAATTGCCTTGTCAGGAAATTATCTTAACAGGAATATGTGAAAGGTTTTGATGTGTGTGTATGTGGGTGATGAGGTGGTGCAGAGCGACTGTGTGGTCTACGCTGGCTCTGTGCGTGCAGTGTGTGTTGGCACGGCGTGTTTTCATGTCTCCTGGCTGTTCACAGTGTGGTGAAGAAGGTTGCTCAGTACATGGCCGACGTGCTGGAAGACAGTCGGGACAAAGTTCAGGAGAACCTGCTGGCCAACGGAGGTACAGTGATGGTTACTGAACATTTTGTCCACATTATTTAGTCCCAAAAAGCTGTCTGATAATGCAACGCAAGGTTAGCTAATGATAAGAGCTTAAAGCACACTGTTGCAGCTCTTAAATGTCTTCACAATGTTAGAAAACACCAACTATCTGACGGATCAGATTTGTTATAAAATGTTAGCCCTACCCAGCTGTCTGACAAAAGAATAGACTGAAACTCTTTTGTTGTCTTTTTTTCAGTTGATCTTGTCACCTACATCACAAGATTTCAATGGGACATGGCAAAATATCCCATCAAACAGTCACTTAAAAACATCTCTGAAATCATCTCAAAGGTAGGTCTCTGACTTAGTTTAAATATATTATTATGATCCTAAATCAACAAATTCATATGGCAGATAAATATTAAGCTCAACTAATATTATCAGTGTAATGACATTTGTAGAATTAGATTCCAGTGGTGGCTGCGTAGGATTTGTCTGACTGATTTGATTGAATAATTAGCATAACTCCAGGTCCAATACTCAAAATGTATTGAATAATGATGATGAGAAATCATTCTCAACAATTCATTACACGTTATTATTTAAAAAGAATATGCTTTTCAATCATTATTTGTTTGTGTGTAGCTTTTCAATAACCAAATGTAACGTTGTCATAGAACTATTTGCTCTAACCACATATGTATCTATGTATGTTGCAACGGAAGAGTTCTATTCTAGAAGGAAGTGGATTTAGTTAAGAAGAAAATAAATGTAATCTGATTATTATCACGTTACACTTATTAGGGATATTATTTGAGGAGTTGTGCCTCTTTGAACAGCATGTGTTTTTTATTAGTCAGTCATAAATCATTCAAACACATTTTTCCTCCCTAACAGCAAGTCTCCCAGATTGACAATGACTTGAAGTCCAGAGCATCGGCTTATAACAACCTGAAGGGAAACCTGCAGAACCTCGAAAGGAAGAATGCGTAAGTAATGTACAAATGGCACTTCTAACACAACATTTAGACATTTTAAGGAAGTAGCTAGTAAGACAAGCCCTTCTAAACTGTCATCGAAGTTCCTTTTAGCAAAATACATTTTCTCCACAGACCATTGACTGTGTCAGCACGATCTGTAAAGTCGCTGCGACTCTGAAATGCTTTGTCAACTTCTCTTGGTGGCGTCCATGTTGTTGTAACACTGCTTTCTGCCTCCAGTGGGAGCCTCCTGACCCGCAGCCTGGCTGACATCGTGAAGAAGGAAGACTTCGTACTCGACTCTGAGTACCTCATCACTCTGCTGGTAGTGGTACCAAAGTGAGGGTTATTTCTCTAAGAATTGTTATTATGTCTGTATGCAAATGATTAAATGAGCAACCTGTGGCAGCATTCTTCCCGAGACACAGAAATCTTAGTGTCCCCCTGTTATTTGCTTTCAGGGTAGCGTACACTGATTGGCAGAAATCATATGAAGGTCTGGCTGAGATGGTGGTGCCTCGATCCTCACAGTAAGTCAGGTCAAACTACATTTTAGGCAATTTGTCATTAGAAATGGTATATTTTACACATTTGCATTCTTGTACAATGCTACCTTTTTAAAAGTCGCATCGCTCATCCACTATAAATTCTTGTATACTGCACATATTTCATTTTTGGTAATTTAATTGTAATTGCTTCAAATTCAATCAAAATTAAGTTATTTATTTTTATTTGAGTGATTTGTTATATATTTTTTTATTCTTTTTTTACTATAATTTTTCTTGTCAATATTTAGATTTCATCTACATTTAAAAAGAATGTCTCTTCAACATATGCTTATATATTGAGTATTTATATGCCCATTTATTTACAGTTTGTGATTCCCAGCAGTCTAACAGGCTCCTGTCTTCTCTTCCAGTCTGCTGTTTGAAGACCATGACAGCGGACTGTTCAGCGTCACTCTGTTTCTGAAAGCCGTTGATGACTTCAAACACAAAGCCAGGGAGAACAAGTAAGAGTGGTCACACACACTGTCATTATGGATCTCTATCAAGAGGTGTGAAACGTGTTTCTATTTTGAAAGAAGTCGCTCTGCTAGGCAGATAGAAATAGCTCTGACTAAATATATCAGCTGGACAGAGATCACAGGGTTTATATCAGTGTCTTTATACAAACAGAAATATTGCTGATCAAAAGTGGATGATTTCTGCCCTCAACATCTTATTCTAGGTTCGTAGTGAGAGACTTCCAGTACAACGAGGAGGAGCTGAAGGCCGACAAAGAGGAGATGACACGGCTCTCCACAGACAAGAAGAAGCAGTTTGTAAGTGATGTAACCGCAATACTTTTTAAAATCATTTTTCAATCTCAGGTTGAGATCTCTTTGCAATGCATTGCTCTGAAAACGTGCTTGTTGCACATGGGTACTTGAGGCCTTATACTGAACCACACATGCCCGTTATCCACTATACCAATGATTTTGTAGTATTTTTATTATTGACAAGCATAGTTTATTTTGTACTACTCTTCTCCTGTTTTGGCCAGATTGTAAAACTGCCACATCAAAATGAAATCCTAACCCTAATCTGTCTCTGCAGGGCCCTCTTGTCCGATGGCTCAAAGTGAACTTCAGTGAAGCCTTCATCGCATGGATTCACATCAAAGCTCTGAGGGTCTTTGTGGAATCTGTTTTAAGGTCATCTGAAATACAGTCTTAAATGAATATCACCCAACGTACACTTATAAACCCAAGTGTGATCTTCATTGGCAGCAGTAAAAGTTGAGCTGTGTGTTCCTGCAGATACGGGCTGCCGGTGAACTTTCAGGCCATGCTGCTGCAGCCCAGCAAGAAGACCATGAAGAGGCTGAGGGAGGTGCTCAACGACCTGTACAAACATCTGGACAGCAGCGCGTCCGCCATCATCGATGTGAGTACTGTCAGCATTTCATTTTTATTTCTCTGTTATTTCATTTTCTTATGTATTTGTTTAAAAAATAATTATCATTATTTTGATTATTTTACTAGTATTGTTCATGTGTTTACTATTTTATAAAGGTTTGTAGCAAAATTATGACATTTGGCAGAAAATGGCAGAAGTTATTATTTACTATAAATATATATAGATTTACACCTTTGACTTCTTTATAAAAAAATGCATTAATATGTGTTTTTTGTAGTTATTTTAGATGTTGATTTCACATTGTAGTCCTTTGCTGAAGCCCCATTAATGTCAACAGCAGAACAAGCTGCATGTCCTTTGGTCACAATACAAACAGATTCTAAGCCCTTTATATATTGTTGTGTTTTCACACAAAAAGTCAAGTAAGCAGAAACCAGACTTTATAAATGCCAAATAAAGACGATTTGTGGGTGTCCAACAATGCAAAAAGGAAATGGAGGAACTGATTTATTTTTTAGGTTTAATTCCCTTTGACATTACAAGGCTCTGTTTCAACATTCTTGCCTTTTGATAGTGAAGATACATCTTATTTATTGAATACCTTCCTAATAGTTTAAGATGGTAAATTATGTTGTTTTTTGTATACTAACTCCAAAAATAAATTACACTATCACTACTATACTATATAGCAGGGGTCGGCAACCTTTTTGATATGAAGTGCCATTAAAAAAAAAAAAGTTTTATCAGCGTGCTGACGATCGTGAATTATCAACGGGCAGGGGGGGGGGGGGGGGGGGGTGAAGAGCTCGATGCTCGTGAACTGTCAACAGGAGGGCGGGGGAGCCTCGCTGCGGGGAAGCAGTGTGTGGATCTGTCAGCGCAACTTACATTAGGGATGCTCCGATCGCCGATCAGATCGAGTGGGCGGGTCCTATGGGGATCTTCCATTTAAAGAAATGTTTAAAACTCAGTTAATGGGGCTCAGTTAATGGGGCTCATTCACTGGCGCTTCCACAAACAACAACCAACATAATTGTTACATTCAAATGAAGTAGCCTACATTATTCAAGTTTACATTAACTTTGGATAATAACACGGGAGAAATGAGCTGAAGCGCTCTCTTTTCCTCTCTCCCCCTCTCCCCCTCTCCTGACAGCCTGTCAGTATCTCATGCAGCTCACTGATCCAGTAATGAGTGACCCAACAGTGAAGAATACATATATTTATAACTAGTTCCAGAGGTAGATCAAATAGCTAAGTGTGTTAGGTCTAACTCTTAATGTGTGTTCTGCTCCGCTCACCGGTCCGTCACAGCGGGTGGAGCTGCAGGATTTCTGCTTCACACACACGTTGCATACCGCTATTTTATTGTCATTTTCGGACACCTTAAAATACTGCCAGACTGGTGAAGACATTTTGGCGAGCTTGTTTTGCCGCACACAGAGAAAAGTGTCATGTATTTTACGTCTTGCGATCGGCATTTTTAGAGAGCACCGATCGATTGGCAGAGAGTGAGTAGGCTATCGGCCGATATCGATCGCCACGCAAAAACTGCGGCATCTTTACAGCTCCTTATGGGTACTGCAATTTGTGAAGTGCTTTCCTCTGTGGTGAAACTATCAGCACTGCATTACGGAGGAAAGCGGCAGAAAGTCGCCTGGAGTTAAAGAGAGCGGGGTTGCATTGCGTGCATGGCTTCCTTCTGCAGGGAACGGGGAGACGCGCTCTGGTGGCGGTCTCGTTCAGGATCCGAAAATAAAATTTAAATATTTTGCACACTTATTCCACTTATTCCTAGTGTGCCACTGGTTACGGTGCCGCCAATGGTGGCACGCGTGCCAGGGGTTGCCGACCCCTGCTATATAGTATGTAATACATCCTGTATAAAGTAGGAATGAACAGCAGTATCACTGTGGGACATGAAGAGATTAACAGCTGCGCCTTCTCATGGCCAAAGCTGGGTACTGCATTAAAATACAGCAGATATTACCTTACCACAGGGGTGCCCAGTACGTCGTTCGTGATCGACCGGTCGATCGCAAAGGTAGTGTGGGTAGATCGCATGGCATTGGAAAAAAAAAGGGGAAAAAAAAAAATATATATTTCTTTTTAAAATGTTTGAAAAGTTAGCCTATCATCCATCCTTACTATGTCATTTGCCACTTGATTGACGTACAGGTAAGCCAGTCTGAGTTGTATTGTGCCATACGGGTTCATGCCGTTATGAGGGGGCCTCACCTCCTCATCTGAAGCGGAAATGCGGCGCACTATTATGCGCTTATGCGGCGCAATTAGTGTAAGCGCGCCACAGTTTATCCGCCGTTTAGTCCACTAGCACCCCCCCCGCGCGCTCGCGACACAGATTGGGCAGGGGCGGCCCTGTAGGTAGATCTTTTGGGCTTGGTCATTTTAAAAGTAGCTCCCAAGCTGAAAAAGTGTGGGCACCCCTGCCTTACCACATACAATCTATGCTGTTAAATTATTTACATGTATGTTATAATCGTTTTTAATTGAGGTATATAGCTGTATTAGCCAAAAATACGTAGTTGTCTTTAAAAAAAATTGACAATATGTATTTTTCTAGATCTTTCAATGAAAACAACAACAGAAGATGTGGTTTGGTGAAGTTGTGAAGTAGTGTGAGATGCTGTGAGTGGCCTTCTTCACCTCCATTGCAGTCATTGCAGTCAGAATCTGCTAATAATCCACAGAGGTCTCCTCTCCAAAGCAAATGGATCCGTGTGTTAAAACCAGTGACAACAAATACAGCACTTTCATTTAAAAAATAAGTGTTTATCCAGAGGATTATTTGGACATGTAACGACCAAATTCAACAAATTTAGATAATATTGTTTTGTCGTTTTTAGACATTTTAATGCGGAAAAGTTGCATATTTTACTCTTAAGTTTTGAAATTCAAAGATTGAAGATAATGTAGCGATGCCTGGGGTTTAGGGAGTCAGCACTACATGCTTTTGTGTTTTTCCTCAGAATACTTAATTTGACCTTTTTGATTTTCTTTCTTTTTCTTATTGGTAAAAATTGTTTCTAAAAGTCTTATCTTATTTTTTTCAGTGTGCCATGGACATCCCAGGCCTAAACCTGAGTATGCAGGAGTATTATCCTTACGTCTACTACAAGATCGACTGCAACCTGTTTGATTTTAAAGTGTAAAAAACGTTCCTTATTTTCTTCTTTTTGTTGTGTGTTAAATACGTTTGATATTTTCCTGGTACAAACCTCCCTCTCCTTCCCCCCCTGTCTCCTCACCGTCTCCTCATCATGAATGATGCTGCATGATTATTATTTGTGGTGTAAAACCTCATCAGCTACCACTTTCACAACCAAGGGACACAAAGTGACTTTAAATTATTGATCTTGTTTACAGTTTTTTTTTCTTCTACACAGACTTTTTCATGTGAAATTAAAATGAATTAAGAAATATTGGAAAGTTATATTTACTGTGTCATTCCATTCGTGCTGTGTGTATTGATAGCTTCTGTATCTGTGATCTGTGTTTACAAAACGGTGCACCATGGCAACCAGTTCTTTGTGTGTTTCTGAGATTGTGGGGTCAGACATTGTGTAACAAAGATGTGATGTGTGTGTGTGTGTGTGTGTGTGTGTGTGTATGTGTATGTGAATATTTGCTGTCAAATAAGTATCACAGTATTGTGTAAAAGATTGAATAAATATGATTGGATAAATGATATCTAACGTGTTAATTTGTGAATAACTTATTAAAGGACCACTATATATGATGCTTTCTCCGACTTTATTTTGATTCAACAGAATTATGAGAACTTTATTTATTTGGTGGGTGTTATATGGTGATTTGCATGTGAGAGAAATAAAGAGACATGTAGGCGGTGTCTCTGTGCAGCCTTGTGATGACTCATGATCACAGCCACAGGCAATTTCAAGAACAGTTCCCCTTTAAGGGGAAATCCTTTGGAATCCACATAACTACACGAAAAATACCTCAGCTTCAGCATGGAGGACATCTGTAAAAGCCAACAGCAGAGGGCACCAAACAGACACTTCAGATAAAATCCATGCATGATATTGAATTGGTGGAACTGTAACAAAACCTTAAAAGGTGTCAGATGTATAAGTACTCATAATGCAGGATGTGTCCCTGTCAGTGTTGTTTTTATAATATTGTTGATGCATTAACGTGAGCAATCCTTTCATCTGTGGCTGGTAGAGCCCATTGTATTCTGCATTACTGTTGGGAAATTTGGGAACATCTACTAAAAGAAGGATTCCAATATATATCTTCAAGTCAAGGTCAATCATGTGTGAACATGAGGTACTCTTTCTCAAAGCCAGAAAACAGAGAAGTTACTGTAAAACTTGTGATGTCATTAGATAGGTAGCTGCTTCATAGACAATTAATGGGATTTTGTGCATCCACAGAATGTTTGTTAAAGTAACTTTATTGCAGTGTTATCATTTGTGAAACAGACCATTAAGATATCAATATTTTAGAAATATATATATATTAAAGTTAGTGCAAAATTGAAATTCTCACTTTATGTACAATAACCTCATAATTGTACCTAAGTGCAGTACGAGTAAATGTATATTTCTGGCACAAACAGTTTAAAGTGTATTCCCAGTCATACAAAAGATCTAGAAATGGGCACTTAGAACTCCAAATTGAATGTTATACAACAAAGATCACACATGAACATGTTGAACGTTAATAACAAAGAGAGTCAAATATAATATATGTATCACACACAATTCTGAAAACTACAACAGGAGTGAAAAACAAAAATGTAAAAAATGATAAGTGGCCAAAAAGGGTACCTACTAGCAATGACACAAAATGATTACAATGTTGCCTACAGAAAACAGATGTTGTAAAGGGCTCTGCTCTCCCACTCAGGTGTTTTGAGTTTACCTGATTAGGTTATAGATGTGAGCAATCTCAACATACTGACAACAATCAAACACTTTCTTTGCACACCTGCTCTGTGCTAATAGGTGTCTAATTAGGCAAATTGAAAATACCTGTGTGTGTTAGTGCCATTTAATATGAGTATTTACATAAGAGAAAAAGTAAGAACACGAACAACACAAAAAAAGAAAGACACAGTAAATAAATAAAAAATACTCAATGAGATAGACAAAATAGAATTTCATTTAGATAGGAGATGTTTGAGCCAAAAAAGCTCTAGTTACTATGTTACTAATTAAAAGCAATGAATAAACTACAAAAAGTAGAAGTATAAAGTCCTCCATGTTACTTTGTTACAAATTCTACATAGAAAAAAATAAATAAATACATGTTATATAAGCATGTGAGGAATTAAATAAAACAACACATTTTTCCAGGTTAAGAAAGTAAAATATATAGATAATGCCATCCACTCCTGTGCTGCTGAGATATATCGACATAATGAGAGAGTTTTCCTTGTCTCAATCAGTTAGTCATCATTTGTGATAATAATTAAACACATGTCATTAATGAGGAATGTTCCATGTGAACATAAACGAGTGCACCACCTCAGTTGTTACTTTACCTTAGTGGTGCAAATTGCTTTATACCTCGAGAACAATTCATATTGAATTTAAGGATTTGGGCCCCTGGGTTTCTGGGAATTTCTTCTTGTCTGGTTGGCGACCCAACTTTGACCTTAATTAAACATGCCTCAACACACAACACTGAATTTAAAAAAGAAAGAAAAAGAGTTCAATGCATGCACCATCTTTAAAAACCAATCCAACTGTAAAAAGCCAGGGAACAGAGGAAGGGACATTTAGTGTGTGTGTGTGTGTGTGTGTGTGTGTGTGTGTGTGTGTGTGTGTGTGTGTGTGTGTGTGTGTGTGTGTGTCTGAGTATGTGAGTGTGAGAGAGAGAGATCATGTGATGAAGGAGTGAGCCTTGCTTGCTGGGTAGTGATGTGTGCACACACACACACACACACACACACACACACACACACACACACACACACACACACACACACACACACACACACACACACACACACACACACACACACTCCTCACACCGTCTCCTGACTGCTGCTGGTACCGGAACCTGAACGAGGCTTGGGGCGGGGAAACAACTTCCAGTGTTCAGCTGGCTCCTGTAGGGGAGGGCAGCATCGATGCCCCGACTTGGACCTGTTCTCCTTCCCAGGCCTCCTGCGGTGAGAGGATGAGAGGATGGCCGAGCAGCGGCGCGGGGACCACGGAGGGCTGACGGGTGCTGCTGCGGCGGCTCACCGGGATGAGCAGCAGCATCACAACACGATGAATTCACCGGAGGAAGCGGGAGCGATCGAGGCTCTCTCTCTGGAAGAGATACTGAGGCTTTACAGCCAACCCATCAATGAGGAGCAAGCATGGGCGGTGTGTTATCAGTGCTGCAGGACGCTGGCAAAGGAGCACCGGGACAGGAGGAGCTCCTCCGCCGCCGCCGGTGCATCATCCGCGGCTTCGATGAGGATCTCCGGAGCGGGGGATGTAAGGATACAGAAAGACGGCTCTGTGAGGGTGGATCACCAGGGCTGTGAAGGTAAGCTATTATATAAGACTGGGCGTGCGGATCTAGGCCAGGCCATCACTTGCATTTCAAATAGAGGTGTTGTGATTCAATGTGTAAAATACCTAAATACATCACGGCAGGACATGTGTAGGCTATAATCCCCAATTGGAATAGTCTAGAATACCACAGAGCAATACTAGCCTAAATAAAATAGGAAGGCATTATATTCATCCCCATGTGTGGAGGTTCTGCTTTCCCTGATCAGCTGCTTTATTTGTATAGCTCAAAACCTACCTCAATATTAATGTGCAGCTTTACACATGACCTGCTCACATAAACAAAGAGACCCCTGCTGCTCCCACTGAAGGCACGTGTGTGCATCATGTGGTTCCATGTCCTGTTAAGGAGCCTCTCATACTGTTTGCCACCTCGTATCGGATCAGGGTGTTCATTCCACTTCATCTGATTACAGCCTGTGATTATAAGCTGAAACATGCAGGGGCACTGATGGGGACCGATGCCTGTAATATGTGTAAACAGAAAGTGATGCATTGTATCTTTATGGTTTGATACAGCTGCTCCTAACTATGTGTCTGGTTATTACAGCTATGTCATTTATGAGGTGCTATAAAAATGGAGAATTATAGCCATGCTGAAGTTAGTGCCACCCTGAATGGATCCAAGAAAGTGAGAGGAGACATACAGTCGAGCATGCCAAATGAAATGCACTGCAATATTCTGGAAATATCCCTTTGGGGGTTTTACACCGTGTCCATGCAGAGCGTTTATAGTGACTTTATTGCACGTTAATGTAATATGTGTCTCATATGGGAGACATTTTTTCTGTGGTATTTGTCTTACATCCTACAGATCTTTTTTAACAAGGTATTAAGCTGAAAACAAAACAGATGACACTGCCATGTCCATGTGGTGTGTGGCCACAGGGTGTGTCTCTGAACATGCTCATACAACACACACGTTACTGGTCATTCAAACAGAGGCCTGGCATGTTATGCTGTGATCACATGCTGAGAGCAGTCGGACTAAATGCCTATCTCTATCTAGCTCTATCTATCTCTGTCTCTGATTAATGGACTATACCTTAGGGCCAGAGGGATGTGCTCTTCAATCGCAACACACACACACACACACACACACACACACACACACACACACACACACACACACACACACGCACACACACACACACACACACACACACACACACACACACACACACACACACACACACACACACACACACACACACACACACACACACACACCACATTCGGAACACTGCCCAGTCAAAATGTTGGCCTTTGATTCAATAAAGACATGAGACGCTTTGTTTCATCAACTTCTATGAGCAATTGTGAGAGGCACAGCTGTGATGAAGAGCTGCCTGCTGCCTGTAGGTATATATGCTCACAATGAATGGGCTATTTTTAGGAGCATGGAAGCAACCATTGGAGAGGGGGGGGGTCCAGGCATTTACTCCTCGGTTACTCAAGTAATGTCATCATGCAAAATCTGTTAAGAATGTTTGCAGTCAAAAATTGCATTTGGCATTATGCAATGTTCATGAATGTCATGTTTTGTTTCTGTTAATATTGCGTCAGTAATTACGTTAATATTTTACAAATTAACATTTCCTTCACATCATACACCATATTTATACACACTTAGTCTTTTCATGAAGTAGATCATGTGGAGCACATTATCCTATACGGACTGTAGACATAGATATAGACATGTATCTAATACTTGTATTTATGTATTTTAAACATATATCCGTTCATTTTAGCTGAGAATTTCATTTGATCATACATTTCTTTTAGCTATGTATTTCTGCTTGCTGGATAATCATACACTTAAAAAAACACCACGCTAGCTGCATCAATATTTTGAGACATTTCTTAGGAAAGCAGAATATTATCTCTATGAGATAAGATAAAATAAGATGAGTTAAGATAAGATAAGATCAGAGCAGATAATCCTTTGTTGATCCCCGAAGGGAAATTCAGGTGTTCAAACAGGAATAGGCATTAAGATTGAAACATAGGATAGCTGAGTTCACACAAGGATAAATACAAAACATTAAAGAAAATATAAATAACAAAATATTATAAACCTACAATAATATAATTAGGTAAAGCTATTTCATGTGATTATAGGTTGTGTTAATATAATAGGCCATAAGAAGCAAGGAATTATCAGTTAGCTTATCAGCTAAAGCAATCCATATGGTACATCGTTAAAGAGGCATGGTAGGCTTTTTTGGGGTTACCCTTTCCTGTAGTGTGTTATATATGTTTTTGTGTATGTAAATGGTCTGCAAAGGCTAAAATCCCAAAGTTCCCTCCAGAGGGAGTTTCTCTCATACACCCCCATATTTTTTACCTTTCTTTAGATTTTGAACCCTATCATAACTGCACAAGCATCTCCGGTTGGTTGTCACTTTTAAATAATTCTAGGAGTGTTTTGCAACTTCAACCACCCAAATGTTTTCAGTTTGCAGGGTCATTTGCTCATCTAATTTCCACTTCTCTGTGCTAGTCAGCATGGGCTCTCAATCGCCCTGATGCACAAACTCATTCATGTCAATAATAAGATGAGTCTGTGGCAAAGGTTTTTAAATCAAATCAAATCAAATCAAGTTTTATTTGTATAGCAAAAGTGCTGTACATGCAATAAAAACACTTTACTATAATAGCAAACAGAAGACAACAAATTACAACAGCAAAAATTAAAATCACATACAGGGAAATGTAGGGATTTAGGACGTTTGAAGTTATCATCTGCTAAATTGACTTCAAGTGAAATCCAGACAAGGTTAGTTTTAGCCCTTGCTGTCACTCAAAACCTCCCTCGACAGGATTCTTTATTGTGCAGTTTATCTGGGCTACCTGACACTTTGTATTATATCTGAATACATCCTGAAAGCAGGACACTTTAAATAACCTCTCTAAATATTTTGCTCATGCCTTACTAGATTTAACTTCATGTTATCCTCCCCAAGTGTTAGAGAACTAAGGAGAACACCCATTCCTTTATCTGCCCTATTTGTTTGCAGTACACACTCACTGTGTATTGGCGGTGTGGACCTGCTGATGCAAGTTTAGGTCATGACATAATGTGATACTATACAAAACAGCCATTTGTTAGGAGGGTCATCTGTTTGTTCATGATGCAGTGCAGATGTAGCCTGGAGTAACATTTAAGTGGGTCTTCTTTTTGAAAGGAAGTACTTTCATGGAACACGGCTTCCTGGAAGGAGGTTTGTCCTCAGCGATCACATGCTGCTTAAAAGTAATTATAAATGACGCTGAGCTTTCATTAAAACTGGTCTAGTTAAAGGAATGCAGCCAGAGCTCAGATGAATTTCACTGGTATTGTTTAATGAGAAAGAGAATATGTAATCACTGATAAGTTAGCTATAAGCTACAAAGATTCTTAACCACAGAGCAAACTGTCAGACAGAAAAAAAATCGCCTTTTTAAAATTCCACCATCCTTTAAACATTAACTAGTAATATAAGCATTTATGAAGTAATGCAGTTATCTTCTATTCTATTCTTACAGTCATTTACATTTCTTTAACCAAAACCAACTATGAATTGATCGTATTAACAGTAATTTGTTATCCAAAACTGTTAACAGAACAGAGCATGTCGACATAAGATCAATATTGAGTGAATCTCACATTCACCATCATGCTTACTGAAAATACTCAGTGTCACACCAAATGTGTTTTAATCCTCAGCTGAAAATAGTCCCTAACGAATGCTCAGTTTCTTTCTGTTTTTGAGTGTCCAGCTGTTGAATTACTGACTCCTTTACTGAAAACAGTTCCTCAAGATTCACTGTTTGAGTAGGAATGAATAGACTTGGGGCTTATGGAAAGTTTACGATGGTCAGACTGTATATTATTAAGTGGAGTAACGGATTGTTAGCTTATAGTTTATTACTTTATAGTTTGTTCACGTTCCAACATTATCATAGGTTCATGATGATGATTCTCATTAAAACACTGACATATTTGACTGTAAGAATACGACATCAATACCAAATAGACTGTAATGGAACAGTGTTATCGTGTGTGTGTGTGTGTGTGTGTGTGTGTGTGTGTGTGTGTGTGTGTGTGTGTGTGTGTGTGTGTGTGTGTGTGTGTGTGTGTGTGTGTGTGTGTGTGTGTGTGTGTGTGTGTGTGTGTGTGTGTGTGTGTGTGTGTGTGTGTGTGTGTGTGTGTGTGTGTGTGTGTGTGTGTGTGTGTGTGTGTGTGTGTGTGTAAGCTGCTTTATATTAAGACTTACATTTGCTGCTTATCCTAACACTGCTTTCTTGTTTCCCTGCAGGTAAATTCAACCCTTGCACAACAACAGAGGTGAGTCACTCCCTATGGTCACTCCACTGTACTACTGCTGTATTTATTGAGTTTTAGCACCAAATGCTTACAGAGGTTTGATCCATTTTTTTGCTGACATATTTACCATAAATGCAATGGGCACATTAAGTCTTGAATTACCATGGTTTTATTTGTTCTTACTGTGCTCTGTCAATGTTTACATCATATCTTTTTCAACACAGGTGCTAGGTGGTAAAAATAGAAATATATATGTAGAGAATTGGTTTTGGCCACAAATTGGGTGTAACGAGTTTCGAAACCTAGTTTGGAATGTTGTTGTTGATTACCTCGAAAACCACAGGCCTGGGGCCTGTACTACGAAGCCGGATTTTTGCTTAGCGAGCTAACTTCAGGGAAAACTCTGGGTTTCCGGTCCTACGACGCTGGTTCACTTCTTAGCGGGCTAGCTCTCCATGGTAATTTATGCTGAACGGCTAACCTGCTCCGGAGCAGGTTAGGTTCCAGGATAAGAAATCAACTCAGTGAAAGCACCGCCTGCTGACCAATCAGAGCTCCGTGTGCGGAGTTTAAAGCTATCAAGTCATATTACAGGATAGAGGAAATACAGAAAAACTGCCGTTGCAGGAAAGACGGCCGGCAAAAATCAACTGACTGTGTGAACGTGAAAATTAATAGAATATCACCTCCCATCTTCAGAGCAATCTGACTAATATAACATTAGCGTTAAGAAAGCTTACTTAAAGGGGACCTATCATGCAAAATGCACTTTTGTACGTCTTTTATACATGAATATGTGTCCCCGGTGTTCCAGGGAACTCACCAAGTGTCAGAAAACACAACCCTCTCTATTTTCCTCCATACCCAAATCTCTAAAAAAGGGGCTGCAACGGATCTGATAAAAACTGATCCAGATTTGAACACTGTCCTGACGTCAGGACAGTGGCGCTACGGCTATTGGACCAACTCCACCAATCAGGAGGAGACAGCCACGGCCATTGCCGTTCGAAAGCGCTGGAGACGCTGTAGTACATATGCCAGGCCTGTAGATGGTGCTGTTCTCACAGAATCAGCCCTTGTAAAAACAGAGCTAGAAATTGTCAAATTGAGCAAAATGAGGCATGGCTAAAATGCATGATCTGTTTGGTATTTTGAAAAAAAAAAAAGTATAAATATGCCTTATATAGGTATGGTCCTACACTATATTATTCAAATATAGCATGATAGGTCCACTTTAAATATCTGCCACAACATAAGTAACCGGATCAGAGTAACATTAAGTACAGTCCGCGGCACTGTGAGTGCAGACTTTGATGTGTCCCATTATCATTCATATCATATCACATCATAATGTATCATATATTTCCTTGTCTGAGTCAGCTTCTTGAGCCGTATCTGGCCGTGCAACACACTATTATTTTAAGCAACACATTAAGTTGACGAAACACTCGAGTCAAATGTAATTAAAGTCAGATCCACTCGTGTCTTAATGTACGCATTCAAACACTTGATCTTTTACCAGCTGTATTCACCTTGCAGGTGCAACTATGTGGCTTTTTTCCAGGATAAAGTGTTTAAGTCATGGATGTTTAAAGTTTAACTTCTTCATATTTGTCTAATATTATAGTTTTCTTTTCATTCAGGAAGTATGACGCTGCGCTGTCAGTACGCTTCTCCATGTTTGTGATTGGTCAAATGTTGCTAACCCCGCCCCTTTCATGTGAAAGCGCACTCAGCCGGACAGAGAAACCCTGGCTTGAGTTACCGAATTGATAACCAGCGTCGTAGGACCGTTTAGCGAGAGCGCGTTTGTTTTGGATTAGGTAAACCGGGTAACTCAAACATATCCAGGGTATGTTGAACTGGATTCGTAGTACAGGCCTCTGGAACCACTCAGTCCATCAACAAGATATTTATGAAGGGGAATATATGGTTGTGCAGAGAGAGGGATAATGGCAGGCCTTTACCACAATAACAGCATTTTTTCCATAGAAGAGGGCTGCCAGCCAACAACAGAGAGCATTGAGCCCATTAGGGGCACAGTGCTGTGGTTGAAACTGTCATAAGCCATGTGGGTGTGTGATGTGTTAATCCTCATGCCTGAAATGCAGCTGCTGTGGGTACAGTGCTGCTAAACTAATACCTTTAATAATGGAAGAAGTGTAAATGCTTTTTTAAATAGGCAATTGGTTTAGCAGGGAGCTTCAGACTAAACATTGCATGGATAACAACTTTAGCAGCAAAACAAACACCAGACAATCCAAGTTGTTGATGGAGCGTTAATGTCCTGCACCACCATCAACATTACTAAATCACTTCTCTGCTAGCAAGCTCACAAACCAATGACAAAAGGATAATACTTTACATCAATAGTTGCATATTTGGGGATTTGAGCTTGTAACTTTCTTGCCGAGAGTTAGATTAAAAGACGAAAAGACCAATACCAAAAGTGTACACTAAGCTAATGACATGAGGAAATTAGCTTAGATAGCATATAGACTGGAAGAAAATACACCTATTAACTCCTGTAAAACTGACTTCATTAAAATCATGTCTCATCTTTCTTACAGCATTAAAGTCATATTTAATTTTCTGTTTGTGTTCAGATTAGATACAGTGTTGATCAGTTAGCTTCTAAAATGCCTATAAGGTGTATTTTTTAACCTTTAATTTAAAAGCTGAGTACAAAGTAGATGTTAAGACCCTTTGATTGGCAGGGTGTGGCTACACATTCTGACACATACGCAGGTCTCAATAAGAAGCTTTATTCAACATGGCGCTACACATCGCTATATTCCTTATATTCTTCACAATTTAATCCTCCATTATATTTTACTGATGCTAATAGCGCCAACATATAATACATTCTGATATACTGTCATGGTGAACCATAGAGACGGAAATGAAACCGACTCTGATCGACACTCATTATGTCCATAAAGGACCACCAATGAAAAGCTAACGGAGCAAAAGTCCTGTGCTCACTGTCTGCTAGCTTTGTTAATCAAAGAAAGGCTGCATATATATTTGATCTTTTCCCTTCAATGTTTTGTTGGATATGCTTTTCCTTACTTTCCTTCCCCACCATTCTCTGAATTTGCTAGCTTTCCCCATCTTTGCTGAGCAAGGGTTTTGTGTGAAAGGATTTTAAGAAGGGGGGTTGAATGAAACAGTTGAAGTATGGATAAACAATGCGTATTTGAGCATTAAAGCATGCAAACAGGTTCAGTAAAATGCTGTGTAGTGTGTGCCCTACTGTGTGTACAGTAAGATAGCTGTAAGTAGTATACAATGCCTGCTAGTTCCATTTTAAAATCACTATGACAAGACAAAGGAGAAATCTGTCAGTACAGAAGCCCATTCCCCATTCCCTGGCATGTGTCCCAGCCCTTCTCTCCCTGTTTGTCTTCACCCCCTCATTTCCTCCCCCCGCCCCTCAGCCCCCAGCTGGCATCTCAGTTTGACTTGTGGGAAATGTCACCCTGCAGGGCCTCCTGTTTGATGGCAGCTCTGGGATCAGTTCAGACCTAATTAAAGGGCTGTGTAAAACGGTCCCTCCTCCACACTCTTTCTAGCTGTGCTATCATCAATCAACTGCTGGTAATTGTTGTGCTAATAGCTTATATGTTTTACAGAGTGCAGGGATTAGCTTCTCTAATTTTGCATTTTCTGAGTATTTTGCTGGATGTTGCAGATGGGTTCATTTAAAGGGGGCCTATTCCGCTCTTTGGGGTTATTCCCTTCAATGTAGTTTATACAGGTTTTTGTGCATGTAAATGGTCTGCAAAGGCTATAATCCTTAAATTCCCTCCTGAGGGCTCCTTTGTTTTTTCTTTCCTAACATATTGAGATCCCTATGTAACAATTGCGCTTCTTTGGCTAGCGCTCAAACACATTGTTCATGATAGGCTAACGGGCGGGACATCTCTAAGTGGTTGACCAATAACAACAGAGCCGGCCAGCTAACCAATCAGAGCAGACTGGGCTCTGGTTTCAGACAGAGGGTGAAAAGAGGTGCTGCAGCACAGGCAGTATGAGAAAAATGAAGAGCTTTTTGAACATTGAAGCATGGAGACATGTCACAGTAAAATACAAATAACTACACTTAAAATTAGCAGAATAGGGCCCCTATAAAATCTGCGTAGACATGGTTTCCGTCTGAAAGCATTTTGTATCTGAGTTGTTGCACATTGACTGAGGGTCTCTTACAGTTCATTAGAGACAGTGTGCACTCATTTTCAGGGGGCTCTGGAGATGCACTGTGTAATAAGGCTGTGATAACAGATGGGCAGGGAATAGCTCAAGCACACACACGGTTCACTGTAGAGCCAGAGAATGTGAAACTGTATAGACAAATCTCCACTAAGCAGCTTTGCACTGGAAATTAGTTCTCACAATGCAGTGTGTTACAGACTGGCTGACAAAACTACTGGAGAGTTGGAGCTGCTTGATGCTCTGCAGCGTTAAATCCTGCAGCAGAGGCATTCTGCTATATACATAGCATACAGAGTGTTATTAGCCCAAAGCTGGAGGAACTGGAACACATGTGTAGTCATAGCTGACACACGTTATGTGCACGTGGCTTCCAAACAGCGTGAACTCCAGCAAATGATGCGGCTGGGGATGTCAGATGATGCTGTTTTCCTCAAATCAAATTAACCAAGCTCCTGGCAAGGCTCTATTTACAGTTGTCATGATAACCAAGTCCACAATAATCTCAGTTATGTGCAATACTATCGTTATATACCATTTCAACAACTTTATGTTCACTTAGCTCTTAAAATGCTGCTTCTTATTATTTACCATACATGTGTACTTATTTGCCTTAATTTTTATGTTAGATTGAAGAGGACATATTCTGCTCATTGTCAGTTTCATATCAGTATTTTGTGTCTCTACTGTGACATGTCTCCATGCTTTAATGTTCAAAAGGTCTTTATTTTTCTCATACTGCCTGTGCTGCAGCACCTCTTTTCACCCTCTGTCTGAAACCAGACCTCAGTCTGCTCTGATTGGTTAGC